AACATTATGTGGAAAATCTACTTTCATGCATGCAAGATCTTTTGTAGCTCCTGTCAAAAATACCCAGATTCAGCCAAGTTACAAACCCTTGGAAAATCCCAGTTTGCCCATACCTGATCGAAGCTGGTAAGTTCAGTTGCTGATCTTTTTGATGTTTCTGTCTATGGAGACCGTGCTCTGGTCTATGGCTGCAGGGACTTGAGCGGGAGGTTTCTGACAATGCTGCTCTTGGTGCCTCCTGGCACAGCCACGGAGACTTGTGCTCTGTGTTGTTCACCTCCTGGACCCCAGACATTGAGAAGGAAGGGCATGAATTGTGGAGGTGCCATAAAAAGGTGGACGAAAGCAACCTAGAGAGAAAGATGGAGGCTGGTGACTTGGAGTGGAGAAGATACTTGGGCCCTGCTGTAAGAAACCTGGTCTGGGAGTTGGGCTGGCTGCTGGGGTGAAATGTGGGTTACAGCCTGGCAAGGAAAACTGGGAGATTGTGCTGAAGAGTGGAAAGTGACCTACCGGGGCTGGAGACCAGGGGTGAGGGCACAGGAGCCTGGGACCTGGAACTGGGGTGGTGCCACAGGGGGAGGTGACAGGGGAGATCATTGGTGTGGAGCAGGATGATGGGGTTGCACTGCTGAAATCCTACGCAATTGAAGGGGAGCCCAGGATGCTGTGAAAAGCAGCATGCATTCATGTAATTAAAGCATTTCATTATTTCAGGAGGCACTTGCACAGTCAGCCTTAATTTGGGTGTATTCTGGCTTTGAATGCTTGTGTTTGCAACCTCAGCTTTCTTTTTAATGGAGCTTTTTGTCAGCGATAGGACTATCTGTAGTTATTCTGTAGTGTGCTGGTGCCAAAGAGCCATCATGATACTCTAGCATGCAACTCCCGAACAGTGAAGCAGGTGTTGCACTCAGTAAATTATGATTAAATATCTGCATGTCATTTATTTGTGTTGTGTTTGTATGAGGGCTGCAATTCTCTTAAACGTCGGCTACTTCAAAGGAGGAGAGTGAATTAACATGGATGAATGAGGGGCTGTCTAACTAATGGATTTTCAGTATAGTCAATACACAACAACAAATTCAATGTTGCTTTGGATAACAGAAGAGTTTGGGTTTTTTATATAATCAAGTTTTGGTGATTGCAATTCACTGATGTGAGAACATTTTTCACATCTATATTTACTTTTTTGTTTAATATACAGTGAACTATTAATTATTGAGAAGATATGGGTATGACCGCCCTGATGTACAGTAAAAAACAAGGATCATTTGTATCAGTGTATTTTTCTAAACGTTGCCTTATGATGGTGTAAGAGGAGATAAAAGTGCAGCTCTGCAGATAATTGCCAGAGCTCAAAACACTTTTTTTCCTCCCCGTCTTTCTTTTCTTGACAACTGCAGCAGCAGAGACAATATCCAGGACTGTACAGAGAGTAACCGCTATAGTAGCACCCATGGTGTGTTTTTCCAGCACTCTGTACAGGCAGTAAACCTTCAAAACCCAGCAGGAGACAGCCCTGAGTGCCCTGCTGTTGCTGACCCTACTTTGTGCAGAGGGTTGGACAGGAGGATCTCCAGAGGTCCCTTCCCACCTCAGCCATGCGGTGCCAAGATGGGCCGGTGCCAGGTTGGTACATCTCAGGCACATCCGCACAGGCTGCCCAGAGGCCGGTGGTGAGGTGGTGCCATAGGTGGGACACAGGGGTTTTTGACTCCTCCGAGGTGGCTTCCTGAGACTGGTTTAGGCTGGCCCACCGCTCCGAGGGAGGCATCAGCACTCTGTCCTGGGTTGGGAGCCTCAGGGGGGCTATTTGCCTGTCTTTGGGCACTAAACTTGAACGCAGGAAGCTTTTTCCTCTATCTTGTCTGCAGGGGGAGATTAGCCCAGGCAGAAGGTGACTCATCAGAGTATACAAGGGGCATTCCTGCTCTGAATCACCTCCTGGGACATCTCCCCTTTGATTGTAAAGGCAGACAGATGATACTGAAGGAGCAACTTCCCTACCTTTTGTACCTAAATATGTCAGTGCACCTTCATTTTTAAGGTTATAGTTAGTAGACAATCTATCATAGGAGAGAATTACTGGTCAAATTTCTGTACCCAACCCCAGGACAAAAAGTGGGCTGAATGGCATACAAGTAAATACAGAATTTGTTGCTCTTCTATGGTAAACACATTGACCATATTCTCCTGCTTGAAGCCTGTAATGTTAGCACAGGGGCAAAGGCTCTTCCCTGAACTAGAGATTTATTTTTGAGGGAGAGACTGGGGATTCGAAGCAATTTATTAAACTGAGTTACTGCAAATATGTGGCCTTTTTACATGCCCATTTTCAGGTTAGCAACCTGTAAAAATACTCACTCTGCTGAATATTTTAAAGCATGCAATAAAACAGTGTTTTATGGAAGAGAACAAGGGAATGTCTATGAGCCTGTAAGATTTCGATGAACCAAAATGTTCATCATAACTTTATCACAAGATATCAATATGAGGAGTGACAATTACCTGTGATCAGTGGGGCTTGAACTTCTTTCCACTGATAGATGCCTTTTTAATCTCTACGGGTTGTACTTTAGCCTCGCAGTTTCAGGCCTTCTGTGAAGCTTTTGTGCAAGGCATGAGGTTTGACAGGCCATGATTCAGTAGTGATTTTAATGGTTAATGTAATTTTTTACAGTTAGTCCCAGAGGTCTGAGACCGTAGAAGTCTTAATTTTTTTCCACCGAAAGATGTTACGTGAGCAGGAGGTATTATAAAGTTTGGTTAGGTACTGCTGTGTCACGCATATGTGCTCACTGGCTGCTGGACCAAATGCAGAAGTGCTGAGCTCTCTCTGACTCTTGCTTGGTGAGGGTCAAAGAAGTTTCTTTCCTCTGCCCCATTAGTGATTAAAAAAAAAAAAATAGTAGGGACATTACTGTCCCTGCTTTCTCCTCCTCTGACAGCTTGGCCAATGGTTTCAAAAGCAGCTGAAGGAAAACAGGAAGACAGGAAGATATACAGACAGCATGGTGATATAAACTTTGTTTCTCTAGGAAATGAGGCTAAAAAAAAAGTTCCTGTGCCTCTTAGTAGCAGAATAAACCTTGGGAATATGATTTAAGTCTCCACCGTGGGCTCAGAAACAAAAAGAAATGGATCCCCTATGTGCTGATTATTTTTAAAATGCTCACACGCTCCAGTTTGGTTTTATGATTATTTGGTGACTCGCTCTTGGAGCTGGAAGTTGGACACTGAGGTCTTATATATTGCGTATTAGAGGTCCCTTTGGTGATCATAATGGAGGAACTAGGAGTTAGTTACTGTTGTTACGGTATCGCAGTGCTACCCCAGCACTTGTAGGGATTGCTGCTGTTATCGCCATGAATGATGGGGGACCCCACTTCCCCAGTACGAGCTGTGCTTGAGTGAACATGTCTGAGAGCAATTTGCTCTAATTGACTGTTAGGTATGATGTGCTTATAAAAATTGTTACAAAAATCCAGATGGAAAAAGATCCCCTGATCCAACCAAACTGGTGAGAGAATAGCAAAGAGCAGCAGAGCACAGCTGCCTTTGCATGGTAGAGCGGGGGGCTGTCCTGGCTGTCACTCCATGCCCCTGGCGCTGGATGAGCCCTTTTGCACAGTTTTTATCAGGTGGATACTGAAGTAACTTGATGCCTTTTACAAATCCATGTCCTGGTGAAAAGAGTTTTATTGAAATAAACCGTGTGGAGCAATCCAAAGCTGTAATCTATTTCCCTTCCTTTATTTCAAGCCTACTGCTGGGAACTTTTCAAGATTTCTTCCCTAGAGATTTAAAGACTCTTCTTCACATAACAGGTGCAGCCTGGGAGAGGACAGTAGCCGTGCACGAATCCTCCTGGGAGTAATTAAGCTTCCTTTCCCTTTCCTCTTGTCTGCTGCATCTATCTGGTAGCGCATCTGCCAGGAGCTGTGTACCTACGTTAACTTTAATCCTTTCAGCAGAGGGAGTCAGATGCTAAAATCTCAGCATGTGCGCTAGCCCCTCCGCGATCAGGACCTTGTGTTTGGTTGTTAAAAGCAGGAATACTTGATTCTTTGCTGCCCACTTAACCCGGGTGGGGGTGTATGGGGGTGTTTTGGTCTCAGCTGAGCTTTCTAAACTCTGCTGTAATGATAAAACCATAGCAGCCACAATAGTGATATAATTAACAAAGTCATCGTGCCAGTGCTCTTCAGCATTGCCTTGTGGGATCTGTCTCAGCGAGCTGCTTATCTTTCTCTACATCTGTGTAGTCCTTGGCCTCACTGATGGACATCATTTGCAGCAGTGCTGGCTGGCACTTAGTCAGAGGGACATTTGTTTGCATTTTGTAATGAATTTTCCTCTCTTGTGCCAGTGGAGATCTGGTATCGTAGCACTGCTTGGGGGCATTAACTGACACTTGTTTTCTAAGGAGGAAAGGGGGAACTGATCTAGGGAATGGTAGGAACTTGGCGCACAGAGGCATGTAAGGAGTTGTGCTTCTCAAACTTGGCATCTCTTCAAAACCAGGATGTTACACGATGTTTACCCAACGTGAATTTGGCATAAGGATCTCCTTAAATCGTAAAAACCACCGTGCACCTCCCCTCCCCAGCATCTCAAAGACTTTTTCTGAACAAAATCTGGAGAGCCTTGAGTGGCTGGGGTGGGAGGGTGTGGGTGACAGCAGGCGCCATGGGTCCTGGCCTGGCCCCGAGAGCAGAGGGGGAAAGGCAGGTGGCCACAGTCCCACTGCCCAGCTAAGGGAACCCTCGGGAGAAGCAATTTGGGTGTTTGCTCTTCAGATTAGTCAGCTGGGTGATGATGGGGAAGGGGAGAGCAATGAAATCTTTCCTACAGTCTTTCTATCCAGTCAGCAGAGAAGAGAAAGTCAGCTGCATGTGCTAAAACAATGCCTCTGGTGTGAAATACATGGTGAGAGGTCAGGGATGGTAGTCACTAATACTTCGGAGGTAGACAGGAGAGGGGAACCAGACTCACACTGCTTTGAATCCCGGCGGGGTCGCGCAGGCATCGCATCGGCGGTGTTTGCAGCGGAGGAGGAGGGTTCTCCTTGCGTTTCCTGAACAAGTAAATCCGGCTAATTTACAGACGGGGTTTTGGTGGGGGTCCTTTGTTCCTGGCGGAGGTTTGGTGGTGGGTTTGAGTGGGTTTGGTTTGTTTGGGGGTTTTTTTTGGTTGATTTCTTCTCATTTATGATGACAGTGGAGAAGATATGCGGTAACTGGGATGCTGTCGTTAAGTGCTAGACACCTCGCTGGGTATTTAGAAAACGGCTTTTAGGGTTTTTTTTTTTAACCAGAGCAGAGGAGAGGCGTGAAGTCCCCTGCCCATGTAGGATCCTTGTTCTGCAGAGCAGCGGCACTCGGAGTTTGTTACGGTGTTAGATGCTGCCTCCCGGCTGAGGTCGAGCTGCAAAAATGTGATTTACGAACCCTGCCGACATCCATCACCTGAGCGCTTTGTTCCGACACGCCGTCCGGGGTGTGCGTGGAGGGGCTCCTTCGGAAGCAGCTCTCTGCCTCTTCTGAAATGGGGATACACTTAAAATGTGGATAGCAAGCTGTTAGCTGGGGAGGCGTTAGGTAAGGTGTGTGTTTGTGTAAGAGGTGTCGGGAAAAAAAAGCAAATAGGCTTTTGATAAGGTCCTATTAATTGAACTATAAACTACATAGTAATTCCTCTGTTCTTGTTTCCCCGCTGAAACTCTTTTCCTCCTCACCGATATAGTCCGTGGTTTGTTTGTTCGCTTTTTTTTTTTGTTTGTTTTTGTTTTTGTTATAGTATGTTTCAGAGATCTTTTCCTTTGATACAGATTTGCTTAGGTTTTGGGTCTGATTGAGGCCGCTGGAAGGTACTTGTAACCTTCCAACTTCTGATGTATAAAAGGTTCTGGTTTTAGCATTTCATACCCAGGCTGGGTTCACGGGCCTTTCTGAAATGCCCACTGAGCCTGAACTAATGCAGAGCTCATGGGATGATAATAATAGCAATTTAGGAAAAAACCTTCTGCTGGAAACGCTATTCCTGGCTGTTCCTGGCCGTGTAACGGTGCGCGACTGGATTTCAGTTTCTCGTTGATTGCATGAAAGGCGAAACGTAAAAGTAGCCCTGACCGAGGTCTACGGAGCTAGGTGCTGTCGGTGGCACTGGTGTGTCCGTGACTGTCGGGACCGGGCTCTGTGGAAAATTCCCGCCACGCACATGCATTTTTGGCAGTACAGTTAAAAAGCCCAAACCTCTGGTTCAAACCTGTAAGGTCTGTCAGAGGGTTTGAACAGCTTGCCAGGTATGTAAAGACAAATGAAAAAGATGTTTGTTTTCTCCTGCTTGTCTGGGGGGAGGAAAGTCGGTTGAGCCACACTTGGTGGAAGTTTTATTCGCATGTTATGAAGTGTCTTTGGGAGTACTGGACAGTGCTGTGGATTATCCAGATTAGAAATGCCCGCAGGGCAGTAACTATTTCGGCCTCAATCCAGTGTGTTTAAATTATATAAGCAAACGCGGTAACATGGAACGAGCAGCTCACCCAAAGACATGCTATGGCTTAACAGAGCGTGCAGGGAACGAACAGGTAGATGCTTTTGGGCACTGGGTCACCCTTCCCAAGTGAGTCACTTGGGCCTCTGGCCTTGCCAAATCCCTGGCTATGTTTTTGCCGTACTTGTTCCTGGCTCCAGTTCAGGGTTCTCCCCTTGACCCCTCGATGAATTGGAGCAGGAGCTCCATCAGCCACAGTCTGACAGAGGCTTCAGCAGTTTTAACTTGAGTCACGTGTGTTGTCCCAGTGAAATTAAAGAGGGATACTCACAAGCAAGCCTGCACGCAAAGGTTTTAATCTCAGGACTGCCTCTCCTAAGCTTTCCATTTACATCTTTTTTTGCTTGCATGGTGCTGAGAACAAATACCATATTGTGTTTGGGTTCAGTATGGAAGAGCTGACCGTACTTGGAACCAGTACTGACAGAGTAGGGGCACTTCTCTGCTGGAGTTTTATGGAGGTTTAGTTTGCACTTGGGACCTGACGTCATGCTGGAAACTAATGAAGCTTATGCTCCCTAAGTGCTCAAGCCATCCTTTCGAGCAGAATTTAGTTTTCTAAGTCAGTGAAATATTTTTCAGACCGTGACCACAATCAGTGGATGGTGCCTGGAGGATACAGGTCTAGAGAGATGCATGTGATCTACATGATGCCCTGATCAGTTGGTGTGATTTTACCAAAGACCCGGTGATGTGTGATTTTGACCACATGGCCATTGACTTTGGGACCTGGCTGAGGTCACCGGCCTTTTAAAAGGGTGCTTTTACATTGCCTTATGTATACCAGTATCTATTTATTTGTCAGCCAGTTCTGCAGCCCATCTGTGCAGCAAGTAGCAGTTACTCAGGCAAGTAATTCCACTGGCTTGAGCGTGGTTATTCAGCCGAGTAAATGGTGTGCTGTCTGAGTTCAAGGCAGTAGATTTTGGGCGTCAGTGCTCTCTTTTTGTGGAGTATGTGAGAAACTAATTTCCAGAGCCTGGGATCCTGGCATGCCTTAAATTCCCGCCTGTTCTTACACTTTGCCTCTACCGGTGGGTGGGTGGGCTGGAAGTGCGATGGGAGGCTGGGCTTTCCTCCCTTTTACAGTAAGCAGCTCTTGCAGAGGAATTCCACAGCTGTTTCTGAGTCTATCCAGAGTTGCCTGCTTGCTTTGCCGATTCTATTTTCTACACAAATAAGGTTTGCTTGCTGCTGTGCTGGGCTCTGCGAAGGGAGCAGAGGAGCCCTTGGAACCGATGTAGCTTCCGTAGCACGGTCTGTCAAACTGTGCGAAACCTTTCGAGCCCTCATCAGCGCAAGCTAGTCGTGCAGCATCTCCCCGTGTCCTGGGCTGGCCAGGGCTCAGCATTTGCTGGTCCGACCGCAGCAGGGTCGACCCCTCAAAGGGACCCTCCTGGTGCCGGTGGCCAAGCATCCGCAGCATGGGCTGAGGGACGCTGGTGGCCAGGACAGAGCTGCTGAAATCTCTGGGATGAGATCACCTCCAGGGCTGGGGCTTGTGAAGGAGAGAGGAGCCCCAACAGCTTCCACACTTAGGGCCGAGTAAAAGTCCTTCAGCCCTGACAGGGCCTTTCACCTCGGTCAGATGCAAATGACTTTGCCCTCCCTGTCTTTCTGCTTCGGAAAGTGCCCCTCCAGATGTAAATGAGCTTGCAATTTGCCCCTTCCTGCTCCGGAGGCATAAAAGCCTGGGCAGTTACAGAGTTTACCTGTGTGTGCTGTACAGCTCGCAGACTTGATTGAACAAGTTGTTGTTTCCTGGGACGTAGAGCAAACGTCACTAATCAAACGCGCCATAATTTTAATCTAGTTTTATTTTATTTAATTTTAACTTAGTTTCCCCAGGAAATGAGTTCAGTCTGTCTCCTGCCCTTTGTGTTTGGCCAGTTGAAACCAGATTGTGCCAATGGTTGGCGGTCTTGAAGATCGTTAATGTCCCACTTGATAAGATTAGTGGCTGGCTGGGACATCTTTGAAGCAGCATGCTCTCTGAAGAAAAGGAGACTGTTTTCAGCTGTTCTTTCTTCCTTCTGCCTGTTAGCAGCTGCCCAGACAGGCATTGCATGTGTGGTGGTCAAACGTTCAGCACATCTGTAGCCCTGGCCACCTCTTGAGGTGTAGGTGGCCTCCAGGGCAGGGGTGGGTGTGGGGTAACACTGGAAGGAGCTGTGGTGGCTGCGATGGAGGGGCAGGAGGGCAGAGGACACAGGTCTCCAGCAGGTGGGACCTGTTTGTTATGCCTCCTCACAGCATGGCTACCCTTTTGTTTGTCAAGCTGAAGCCACTTGAGATTCAGGAAGGCTGGCAAGCTGACAGCCATAGCTTGGAGCCTGTTTTTCTTGACCTTCAGGACACCTTGGGCTGAACAGAGGTGAGCATCGGAGCAGATGGGAATGTGCAGAGGGGGGTGTGTGTGTAAACTTGCACGTGTGCAATGGCAGCATGATTATCTGGGTGTTCACCAGCGTCATACTGTTGAATTCAACGATAATTTGACACTGATGAAAAGATGACATTCGGCGCCGTACATTTCTCCCAGAATAGCTTCCGTGAGCGAATACAGTCTCTGATTCCCACACGGCCTCCTCCCCGTGGTTGCTTTAGGCAGGTGTATACTTGAGCTGATGCCGTCCTGTGAGACACCAGAGACGTGCTTCTGTATTGCTGAGCGCCCCAGTGTCGGTGCAGCTAGTCTGGCATGGGTGTCTTGGGTGGTCTGCCTTGGAAATCTGGGACAAAACTGTACTAGGAAAAGCAGTCTTGCCCTCACTCAGGCTGTGCCTGTGCTGGACTGCTTTTCAGTATAGCCGCACTGGGCATGTTTCTTCCAGACCCGGACTGAAGGAAAAGACAAGCATCTTTTCAGGCAGCGGCATAAGAAATAGGAGCATCAGGGTGTCAAGGAGCATATGTGTGAAGCACATATTCCTCAGCCAGTGCATGTTTTGCTATCCTCTCTGTTGCTGCAGGTCTTCAGATAATACATGCCTGTTGTCTTGTGGCATGGAGCGTGGCTCCAGAGATCGTCAGTGTCACTCTCTAGTGTCAAAATATTAAGCGTCACCCTTGAGGGCCATGCTGAATCTCAAACACCTGTATGCCACTCCTTTTCAGGCAGCCTGTGATGCAGCTAAGATCAGATGCATCTGTCAAGGTGAGGTGAAGGAACTGTGTAGCTGGCTCCCTGTCATGGGTTACAGAGGATGTGGAGCACCAAGCCACGCCAGCAGGGCAAAGGGGGGCGCTTGTCCCTCTTCCCTCACACAAACTCTGCCTGCTGGAGATGGGGCTGGGCACCTCTGGCATCTGAGTGTAAGCTTCTACATTATTAGAGATGCAGCATTTAGTGAAGGAGAATGTTGCTTCCCTTCCTTTCCCCTTTGTGGACACCAACCACTGGCAGTGTGTCATGGTAGATGACTGTTAGCTAAGAATGGGCTCTTGGGCTTGGACCAGACATCCTGTGCAGGTTCTTCCTCTGATGGCACCAGCCACCCAAGCTTCAGTGTGAGAAATGCTGAAACAGG